GTGGTGATGGGAACCACCGTTTGTGAGATATAGCATTTATTTAATATCCAATATGACCGTCGAATCTTCAGTTCAGATATTATGTTGATAATGAGGACGTTGTGAGGTTTCAGACCAAAACACGATCTCAGATCTACTATAAATCAATGTTTCAGACATCACGTGGCAAATTCTTAACCATTTCAAGTAATATTCTTTTTGTGAGGAAGTTTTTAGAGGCGTTAAACACTTCAGACGTCTGGTTCCTATCACTACAACTGTGAACAATCACAACAGACTCTGTAAGTTTCTTTAGAATGGTGCATTTCACATGACTGTTTACATCAGTTTAAAGCAGGTGTGTGATGATATAGGTATGTGTTTTGCACAGCTGAGCCTCCATTATTTCTTAGCAACATTAGCTTTGTAGCTTCAGTCCAAAAGTAAAGAAGCGAACTTAGGACATCAGCTGTGTCTTGGCTGATCGGCTACATTTGGGGTAAAATTGTGTAAATTTGATTGTTGGCCAAACTATCACTTTAACGGTTTTGGCCCAGCTGCAAATGCCCTCTGTACATCATTCCTACAGGGTAGGGACAAATGTCCCACCGCAGACCAATGAGATCAGCAGGGAAACACACACACAAAGAAAAAACACGGTTAGAACTGGAGGACGAATGTGCGCACGCAATCAGTCACAACTGCGTGATATATAGACGTATAGATGTTCCCGCGAGAGAGCATGAAAAGGTGCTTAGGACAAGAATAACCCACTCAAGCTTCTCCTTTCTTTCCTTTTTTCTACTTCTCTTCTGTTTCACTGCTCTCCTCTGGCTCTCGCTCCCTCAGTTTATCTCTACCTCTGTCTTTCTCACCTTTCATTCCATCACTCTATCCGCCCCCCTCAGGTTTCCTCCCCAAACCGTCCCTACCTTGCGCATGCACTCTCTCTCTTTACCCCACTCTACCTCTCTTCTTCCCACCCACCACCCCTTTTGTTTCCCTTCCTCTTTCTCCCTCTCTCCCTCCCTCTCCCTCTCTCAGTCAAGTGGATCTAAAATACCCGCTACCCTTTTCTCCTTGACATTGTCGTCTCCTCGCAGTCAGCATTTCGCTGTCCTTTCATAGTAAAAGCGTCAGGAGAAATTCCATGCAGGAATATTCTTAGCAATGCGGCACTCCGCTCACCTCCAGCTCCCGGAGCCAGGGTTTGCCAAGTGCATGGAAATTTACAGGCAGCCTCTAAAAAATGGTCAAATTTGAACTTGTTTGTGAATCAGTGAAGAAAAAAAGTTTGGCTGTTCATAAAAAACAGGCCAATATTGACCTACTAGTCTAATCTCTAGTCTAAACTGAACTTTCACCTCAGTTCACCTTAGTCTACTACATATTTGCCTTCAAACCTACAGTTGTGAACATGTCCATACATACATATAATCTATCTATCTATCTATCTATATATAGTATATATATATATATATATATATATCTATATATATATATATATATATATATATATATACATATATATATATACAGACAGAATTCATGCTTTGGTATTACTTGTTTGACTTGACTTGTTTTTGGCTATCACTGTTCTCTAACTACATTACCCAGCATGCATCATGCAAATACATTAATCACCACTGGAAAACCTAACAACACTAACAACCTAACAACTGATATTGAGGCTAATGAACAAATCTGTGGTGGTCCATAGCATTAGTTATATAGCACTGTCCTCAGCTGGTCATCAAACTTTTCTCTTTGTTAAATTCTTCAGTTGAAGAATTAGCCAACAACACAAACAGCTCTCACCCCTAAGTATCCACCCCGAAGCACTTCTAGTCTTTCAACACCCTTTCATTTATTTAATTTCCAGTCAAAACTACCATTACATAAAAGATATTCAGCTTCCAAAGACTTTTTAAAGAAATCTGCAGGAATGTTTTTACACACCTCCAAAGTTCAGCCTTAGCAGCTGGTTGCACTTTCTGCTTCTCACCACAGTAGGAGGTGTGTGGACACGTTTACAACAGATGTAGGCATGATTACATGTTTTAATGTTGGCTAGAGTACCACTTTATTCATGTCAGTAAAAACTATGAATATTAGGACGGTGACCCTCAATCAAGTGTATCTGTGGAACTCATATGTTGGTGGCAACTTTTGGCAAAATATCATTGAGAGTTTCTAGTGTTTAGGCTTAACTAGACTGCTATACCTACAGTACATGCACAAAGGCACTAATACATGCTCACTACGGCCCATTCTTCACTCTGGGTGAGTTGTGAGGCAGTCAGTTCTGTGCCAAGATGGTAGTGTTGCAGCAACTCTGTGTGTGTGGGTGTGTGTGTGTGCGTGTGTGTGTGTGTGTGTGTGTGTGTGTGTGTGTGTGTGCATGGCCGCTAACCTTGGCGTGTCCTAACACTGTTGATGAGTGTCTGCAGGGCACAGGAGGAGTGCAGTCTGCTCCCACACACACACACACACACACACAGAGCGCAGGGCACTTGGCTGAGCAGTGCCACACACACCACTACAGATTGTTTAGCTGCAGCCATATCTACAACCCTTTAGGAGCGTAAAGTGTCACCTCCAGAGATGTTTTTGAGAAGAACCTGGCTTGATATGAGTGTGTGTGTGTGTGTGTGTGTGTGTGTGTGTGGGTGGGTATAATCCAGGGACCCTCTGCTCAAGCTCCATGATAGACCCCACTTACTCTTAAACAGACAGTATTGGTGTAAAAATGCATCTTAAACATCGATTCACATTTTTTGGCCTAGGTTATTTTGAATAGTGCTAAATCTAAAGTCAATCATGTTTCTATTGTCTTTTTACATTTCTCCCCTAACGAATGTAAGGTAATGGCTGTGTAAAACGAGCCATGGTCAAATTAAATCATTCACGATGGACTGAATCATATTCAGATTGAATGATGGTGAAATTTGAGGTTTTACGATGAATGAGTCATTTCCTTCAGGAATGAATTAATTCAAAATGTGGTAAAATAGAATCATTTTCTGAAAGAATCTGCATTGAAACAAATCATGGTGAAACTTTTCAGTTTACCAAAGCATTAAATCACTTCTTAAAGAATCACTGTTGAATCGAGTAAGGGTAAAATTTGAGGTTTCATTATACATTGAATACTTGAAGAATCGCTATTGAATCAAATCAAGGTGAAATGTAAAAATTCATAACAGATTGAATCATTTCCTAAAGAAAAATAGTTCAGTTGAGTATGGCTGACATTTCACTTTTCATGATGCATTGAATCATTTCATTAAGAATCAACTCAAATCAAATTGTGGAATTTGATTTTATGATTCATTGAATCATTTTCTTAAAGAGTGTTCCCTGATTTGAATCATAGAGATATTTGAGATTCCCTGCTGCATTGAATAGTTTCTTAAAGAATAATAAATGAATCAGATCATAGTTCAAATTGAGATATCATACTAGATTCAATCATTTCTTTAAAATGATTCTTTGAATCATGGTGAGATTCAACATACTATACTGCATCGAATAGTTTCTTAAAGAATCTGAATATAATCAAATTGTGCCAAAATTTTGTTTATGATACTACGATGCATTGAACCTTTTACTAAAGATATTCTGGGGTTGTATGCTGTATTGAATCATTTCTGAAAACTGTATTTAACTCATTTAAAATTGAACTGAATCATTTCCCTAAAGAGTGATCATTTATTTGAAACATGGTGACATTTGAGATTTCATCCTATATTGAATCCTTTCTTAAAGAATCATTATTGAGTCAAATCTTTATGAAGTCAGAGATGGACTCTGCCACAAGCACACCTGTCTCACGGTGGACAGACAGTTGCTCATTCCACTCCCGACTTCTTAAGAACTCTCCGGTCTCGGTTGAGAGTGGCGTGAGCCGCAGTGATTTTCGTTTGTGAGGGATGTGAGAGTTTATGGAGATGTTATACAGTGGAGAGGGAACAGAGGAGCCGGGCTACTCCCCTCTAACTTCTGCTTTTAACTTCTTCTGCTTTCCACTGCTTACCTTATTGCAGGTCGTTAGTTCATCTCAGATTTATGAGCATGACACTCACACACACAAGAACATACATAAACACACGCACACCCACACACACACACACACATACACACACACACACACACAAACGCACAAACACACACACACCTGTCGTGTATTCACTTCCCCCTGTGCTCCTTGTTTGATTGTGTCAGTGTTGCGATAGGTGTGTGTTCCTTAAGCCTGTGTAAACACTGGGAAGTCCCATAAGACAGAGTGTGGGTAAAGCTGTATTAGAGGAAGTGAGAATAAGACAGTGTGAGCCGTAAGACCACATATCACTGCATTTCCCCATGGCTGTCTACCAGAGTGAAGCGCCCGATAAGATACGTGTGTGTGTGTGTGTGTGTGTGTGTGTGTGTGTGTGTGTGTGTGCGTGCACCTCATGCCCTAATTTACCAGTAAGGATTAGGATGCTTTGGTTTGGTAGCACTTTATTGAAAGCTATATATACATTTGAAAGGAAGAAAACCTTTTATCTCCATTTTTGTCGTTTTTCAGTTTTTGACATAATTTAAAAGTGCCTATTGCCCTTTACATTGTGTGTAAATTTCATGATGATTGGACTAAAAGAAACAGCCTAAAATGACTTGGAAAAAATTCTGGTTCCTTTGATTTACATTAAAAGTAAAGTGTCTTTTTTCCTTCTGCTGTATAGTTACTATTTTGGAGATACAAGGTTTCATTCAGCAGCGATATGCATATATATATATATATATATATATAATGTTTATGTATGTGTATATTGTGCCTAATATCAATGCAATATCACTCAAGTATTTATAAATATGCCATTCACTGCTTATGCATTTGTTACAAAGTCGCTATTTAAGTGCTATTCAAATTAGGTGTTAACAAAATTTGAAACGTTATGCTTATCACTGGGTTTTATATTGTGGCATATCATTAAAAAAGCAGTTTTCATAACAAGCTAAACCTCTTCCCTCTGCAGGTTCCTGAACGTTTCCTGGAGGTGGCTCAGATCACACTGCGGGAGTTCTTCAACGCCATCGTGGCGGGAAAAGACGTGGACCCTTCTTGGAAGAAGGCCATCTACAAGGTCATCTGCAAGCTGGACTCAGAAGTTCCAGAGATATTCAAATCCCCCAACTGTCTCCAGGAACTTCTCCATGAGTAAACGATTCCCAAAAGTCTGCTTGTTGTTTTCCTATGATGATTTGAATTTCTTTCTTTTTTTTTTTTTCTTCTTTTCTCGAGTTTTACAGTTCTCCTTTTTCTCTTCTTGTTTTTGAATGTATGGCATATGAAGTAGCATTCCTGAGCTTTTCTTTTTTCCTGGGGTGATCTAGTTGTTAAATTTGAGATTCTTCTTTGTCTTTGACTTTAACTTTTTTTGTGTTTTATATTTGGAAAGACTTTGATATCCCAGTAGGGGCCCCCTTTGACTTTTGCCTGCCCATTCTGTCTGGAATTCTGGGTAAAAATGCTCACAACACCCCTTATAATGAAGCCAAACAACTCAGTGAACTAGTATGACTGATGTAAAGTTGACTTGGGCTTGTCAAACTGAAGTTTTTGAAGTGTGTATTTTTTTTCTGGAGATTAGGGCATTGCATTTATAGGGTGTATAGAATTATTATTATTATTATTTCTATTATTATTGTTATTTTATTATTGTTGGTGTTCTTGTTGTTCTTGTTGTTCCTGCTTGGGTAAGACTGGCACTTGGAGGGTTTTCCTTTCATGATAAGGTTGCAAGAAATAAATTATTATTCCAAAATGTAAATCTCTATATGCAAAACTATATTACAGACTGTACGCCCGAATGGACTTCACACTAGAATAGCTTTGGTCCTCTCCTAGGTTCTTTTTTTGGTTTATATGGGTCCAAGGGTTGACATTTTGGCTGCTTTGAAGGCACCAATCAAAGCATTTGAATGGACATCATAACCCCGCCCTCTTTTTTTTTCCTTTTTTAATGCTACACAGCCATTTTTGATTTTGAATTCTCTGGTTTTTGCACAGAAAACAGTACAAACAGTACAAATGCTTTTCGTCATTAAATGAACGCTACTGCAATTTTCCAATGACTTTAAAACACCAGCGCACACACAGCTGTGTCCTGCTTACTCAGATGCTGTGTGTGCTTGGCACTCGTTCAGTTTAAGATAGACGCCTCTTTGCGTGCCGGACACTGGGGAGGTCATCTCCTCAAGGCCGAATTTTTGGATGACCACAGTTCGGACATAGATGTCTAAAAATACGTCACTGTGCAACCATCTCAAGAACATAAACGCAAAAAAAGCCCACTTCTCATTCCAGAGGAATCATTCTGAACCTTCGAGTGTGTGTGTGTGTGTGTGTGTGTGTGGTTTCGGGAGAGTGTGTAGATGGCCTCCGGCCCTTTTCTGCGCGAGTGTTTTCTTTGCTGTGTGGTAATTAGCTCAGTATTTTTATGGTGTTTCTTGAATACAGAATTGCTATGAGATGAAAGTCAACCACGTTTGTTTGAAAAGGACACAATAAGAATTCAATCCTTGCATTTTCTTTTTTTTCTGGATGTTACGATTGAAAGTTTGTACTGTATGGATATGAATTTAAAAAAATGCACTTAACTGTTGTTCAGTGGAGGCAATGACATTGGATTTTATTTAATAAAGATTGAAAATATACTTGAAATGAACATTACTTTTTTTGTGTCTTTGTGAACAACTTACGCACATCATTTTGTTTGTCATGAGTAAATATGGGGCTTATCATGGGTCAAAAAGCTGAGAAAATTTTCAAATAATAAGTAATGGGCAATTACATTTACTAGAAGCAACAAGATTCATTGTCCATCTATCTTTAATATACAACATGTGGAACTATATGTTGTATATGTGTATATTCTGCATCATTGACTCCAACTTTGCTTGAAGTTCCATTGGACAATGACTGGGGAGGAAAATGAGAGCTGTAAAGAATCTGCTGATCTGCTGATGTTAAATATCAACATACATTATGGAAATAGTCATGAAAAGCAGTTGTTTACAATACAATCATTTGCTTTTTAAACAACAGTGGAGTGATAGTCTATGGTCTACATACAGTTCACAAGAGAACATTCTGATGACTTTGCTCATGTTGAGTATGTTTCTCAGAAATGAGCACCAAATGACCATGACTTCATGCACTTTACTGAACCTACTGTTAATTTCTCTCACAGCTCCAGCATCATATGTCCCTGTAACCATTCAAATACTGTAAATCGCTGCTGTCAGAACAAAACCTCATATCTCAATTTTTGTTGTTTTCCAGTTTTTGGTGTAATTTGAAAATGCCTGTTGCCCTTTATGTTGTGTTGAAATCTCATGTTGAGTGGACCAAAGGAAACGGCCCAAAATTACTTGGAAAAAACTCTGGTTCCATTGACTCACATTAAAAGTAAAGTAGGTTTTTTCCTTCTCCTGTAAAGTTACCATTTTGGAGATATGAAGCAGTGAACTTCTCAGTTATCTAGTGCCCGACAGCTAACATTTTGTCACAAAAATCTATAAGCTAGCAAGTTTCCTTGTTAGCTACTTACATGCTGGCTAGTTGGTCAGCTAATAAGGTGGCAGGCTAGGCTTTTGATTAGCCTGAAGGTACATTCAGGCTATCATGGCAAACACACACTGCATGCATCCCTATTCAGCGATGACTATGTCATCACTCCAGATGGCAAACCAACAGAAGAACAAACACCTCAAATGCATTTATTTAATGGATTATTTAATAATCTGAGAAAACATGAGATACATGCTGCTATTTTTTGCCCTTTCTTCAGTGACAGGATGACAAGAAATAGCCTAAAGTCATTGGCTAAGGGTTTCAAGGTCAGGTTTCAAAGTTCAACATAAAGCAACTCCATTAAAAGTGAATAAACGAGACATGAATGAAACCTTTTTGTCACCGTAATATGAATTTACCTCAAGAAGTTCATGGAAAAGATGTTTATTGCCGCATAATCAGAATGGAAGGGTAAATTCTGTTGAGTTCAGTGGTTTAACGTAGCACTGGCTAGCAGGATTAACATTGTTTATTATTAGCGAGGCAGATTTAGTGGATTGTGAGTTACGCATATTATGATTTTCAGTGGTGAATCACGACTATTTGAACTATACACACTTGAAAAAGATGGTTCTTTAAGGGTTCTTTAGTAAAGATAATGAACCATGAGTTCTATATAGACCCTTTTTTTTTTTACAGAACCATGCCTAATCGATTCTTTGTATGGTGAAATGTTCAGATTGATGGAAAATGTGTTGTATATGATTCTATGTAGAACCCTTTTGAAAATGGTTCTATATAGCACCAAACAGGGTCCTGCTAGTCACAATGTCAAGCTTATATACAACACTTTCTGCATCAATCTGAAGAACCATTTCACCATGCAAAGAACCAATTAAGCATTCAAATGGTTCTATATAGAACTCATGGTTCTAAATAGAACTATTGCCTTTACTAAAGAACACTTGAAGAGCCATATCTTTATGTGAGTAGGCTCTCCGTTTGGGCTATAACTGTCAAAATCAGTCAAAAACTGAGAAAATAACCCATCTGTACAATAATTTCTATGGGATTTCTATTGTTTATGAACATTCTACACATGAGCATTTGAAGCTTCAAAACCTTGTAACATGAGCATGTGTTTCACCTTGTATGCACACTCTTGGGAAAGATGGTTCTTCAAGGGTTCTTTAATAAAGAAAATGGTTCTATGTAGAAGCCTAAACACTCAAAGAACCCTTTTCACGATTAAGGGTGTATTTGCATTGTAAAAGCGTTCTTCAGATTGATAGAGAATGTGCTATAGATGTTTTTTAACAGAACTGTTTTTAAAATGGTTCTATATAGCATCAAAATTAGTTTTTCTATTGTTACCATGTCAACTTGTAGAACAACAGAACAGAAAAACCCTTTTTGGTGCTATATAGAGCCGTTTTCAAAAAGGTTCTATATAGAATCATATACTACAGATTCTCCATCAATCTGAAGTACCATTTCATCATGCAAAGAACCATTTAATCATGCTTATGGTTCTTTAAGTGTTAATTGTTCTATATAGAACCATTTAACTTACTAAAAAAGCCTTGAAGAACAATCTTTTTAAGAGTGTAGCAGTTTTACTGTCATGCTTTCAGTGAAGAGTCCTGGAATAGAGCTGCTGCTGCTGTTTTCCATTCCTAACAACTAACTGAAACCTGGTTAGACTCTGGCTTATTCACATCATTGACATATGCTGAACTTCCAGAAGGCCTAGAGTGATGTTTTTTCTCAATAATTGGTCCTACTAACTGGTTTATTCCACTGTCTGTTCCTAATTACGTTGAGAGTCAATTTAACATGTGAGGTCTTCAGTTCAGCTCCTGAAAGCCAGACCAATGAGAGAGCTCACTTGGCTGTATCTACCCAAATACCATGGAAAAAATTCTGATTGGACAATTTTCCAATTTGGCTATTTCAAGATGTACTTTTTGTTTCCAACTAAAACTTAACAATGAAATAAGAGTATTACTATAATACTAGAATAGTTTAAATACAACAAGCATGATTATATTACATTAAACTAAAATTACTTGTATACAACCAAAAAGCCTTCTTTGAAGGTCGAGAAGGCCCTGTTGGTTCTTCACTGGCAATTTCTTACCTCTTTCCATTGTTAGCACATGTTCAGAATGTACCCAAGCCCTTTGGGTTTTAGGTGATTATGTGAAGAGTTCATTTGCGAAAAACGACAAAGAACATCCTTTAAAAAATGAGCTGACTGACCTGAGTTATTCTTAACAACAAAAGCCATGTCACAAAAGCCGCTATTGTCCAGAAGAAACAGTCAAACGCCAGCGCTGTTCTCCAGCAGAACCCGATAAATCCATTCAGCGAACCAGTGCACAGTATTCAGGTCATGTGATGCTGCCGCAAATTGTTTTAGGCAGAATTTCAGATGGCTCCCTTCTCCCTACAAAGTGTAGTAGATCTTTTAGGTCTTAAAATAATGGCTACTGCATCTAAACAGAGCACAGTGTGTCTAACAAAGAACCACTTTGGATTCAGCCATGTGTGCAGAATTCATACTGGACATAAAGTGCAATATTTGGGTGCAAAAGCCAAAATTTCATAACTTATAAATGGCACTATATAGAGAGCAGTGAGCCATTTGAGATTCAGCCTTAGGATTTTCAGAGGTTTGATCTTATAGATGTTTAATATTGATCATTAACAGACTTTTTTTGTTCCGATTTTTCAGCACTTTACCTGATTTTTATGCTAAAGAATGTTAAATATTGCACACAAAAGAAACATGTTTCCATTATATGGCTTTGTTTAACTCTGAAACGAGAAATGACCGTTGGAGTTATCTGCTTTCGCCAAAAACTATATCTAAATTACAAAAAATCAATAAAGTTTAATTTTGTAAGTTACTTGTATTTTATTGAGTTAAATTTACTTAATGAAAACAGCCCAAAGCAGTTTGACAGTTTGTGATACACAAAAAACAAAACATGATTTTTGAAAATTCATTAAACTCTTCATGCATCTCAAGGCATGAAAATACATTGCAAGGAAGTCTTTGGCATTTGTGTCTGCCAAAGCCCCAGGAACACCGGGATATTGGGATGCATTGGGATAGAATTATTTTCCACAAACACTTAACATGTCTTGTTCTCACGTGAACTTTCAAGTGATACGCCCACTCTTTAATAACTGAACACTG